CCCCTAAATCTAATTACGACCACATCAAAGAGATTTCATCATCATCATCATCATTACAGCCCTTCACAAGTCCACTGCTGAACATAGACCTCCCCCAAGGTATGCCACAAAGCACGGTCCTGAGCCACCTGCATCCATCGACTTCCTGCATGTCTTACCAGGTCGTCACTCCATCTAGTGGGGGGTCGCCCTACACTACGCCTACCGGTACGTGGCTGCCAACCTTTCTTCCCCATCGGTTATCGGTTCATCGAGCTATATGGCCGGCCCATTGCCACTTCAGCTTACTAATCCATTGGGCTATGTCGGTCACTCTGGTTTTACTGCGGATATCCTCATCTCTTAGTCTATCACGCAGAGAAACTCCGAGCATAGCCCTCTCCATAGCTCGCTGAGCGACCTTGAGCGGCCTCATACGGCCAACAGTGAAGGACCACGTCTCGGTTCCGTAGGTCATCACTGGCAACACGCACTGGTTGTACAGCTTAGTTTTCAGGTTTTGAGGTATATATACTATACATACTTAAATGTCTTTGGACCACATGAAACATGCAGGATGTCAATATATGAAAGGGGTTTTGAGGTGGCTTGAGACCGCGCTTTGGGACAATCTATGGTGTAGATTTATGTTCAACAGTGGACTTGTGATGGGTTCTAATGGTGATAATGATGCTGACTTTTATAATTAAAACAAATAATGTACTATAACAGACTGTAAACATTTTTATTAATTTTTGCGTATATAGATTATCTAAAAGCAAAATAACAAAAATAATAATGATTCCTTGCATTTAAATATAACTAGCTTTTACAGATTCTATCGCGTATATTAACATATTTTATATTCCCGAGGTTTCGAGCACTTTACAGCACCCATGGTCCGGGGGGGGGGGGGGATGAGGAATTGGACGTCCCAATGAACCGTGCTTCCATTAAATCAGTTATGCCCATTTCAGGTCGCCGAAGAAGATTAGTCAGTTTTACCATCAGTCAAATATAATGTCCCTCTGCAAGAAGCAGGAGTGTACAAGCTTGATTGTGAATGTGGTCTCTCTTACATAGGACAAACTAAAAGACCAATAAAAACCCGCGTTAAAGAACACATAGCTGATGTGAAAAATCGACGCTCCGGGAAGTCTGCAGGGTGTGAGCACGTAGAGGATCGCCCCGTCCTACATCAGATTCGATAGACCACAAATCTTGGCTAAATAATACCGATACCCATCCATCCTTCCAAGGATGATTCGCGAGGCTACTTAAATAAAAAAACATCTTAATTTCAATAGAGATGTTAGCTGGGTGCTACCGTCAGCTTCGGATCCTATAACTAATAAAATTAAATCCCAACCCAAGCATACAACTGCACTTATAACCAAGACTTCAAGATACCATAAGTTCATATTACGTAGATCAGAACAAAAATTTATAATTTTAATCCGGAGATAGCCGTGATTAACTATGATATTAGGACCTCCTACATCTCAGACCCCCGTAACCATGGGTGCTGTAAAATGCTCGAAACGTAGGAGATATAAAATAAGTTAATATAAGCGATACAATCCGTAAAAACGAGTTTTATTTAAACTAAAATAATTTTCCTTTAATCGTAATCTACGAATGATAAACAGATATAACAAAAATCTGATAAACAGATTTATTAATAATATTAACAATATTTATATGCAATGAACAAGAAAACAAATTAAGTCGTGACCAACATCAACCAGCAATCTAATGACGTAGAGAATTTTTATATTTTTTTTTGTCTGTACTTTTTGGAATTTCCCAAAGTCATCTCTTGTAACACCATTACTAACAGATACATAGGATCATTGATTCTTCTAACCTACACGTACTCAATGTAACGATCGAATATTGAATCGGATGCGTCATCAGAAATATGGGGACTATAATAATGAAATGACCTCCAAACCGAATTTTGGTCACGGCGACCAGTCACAACGTAGACTAGCTATCTGCACAGGCCAGAATTAAGGTTCCTGGGTGTATACGCAAGCGCAAGTGCACTCTCTATTCCCTCTCTTATAGTTCGATGGGACAGTCATCTGACATGACCGCAGAGAGATCAGGCGCATGACCAATTTACGTGCTTTACGATACACCGCACAGAAATACCCAATAACTGATTTTGGCCCAACCCGGGATTGGAACCCGGGACTAACGAGACAGCCATGATTTCATAAGGCATATAAAAATATTCACATAAATATCGTAATAAATAAATATTTGCTACAGTTGCCACGCTGAGTAGACTGGTGGATAACCGCAGTTTTAGGGCTTAGGTTTTTTATCAGGAAGACGCTGTTGCCTATCTTCAATTTCATTTTCTTCTGTCGACTCCTCTTGTGACAGCCACAGGATATGAGGAAGTGCATTGTTTTAAACCGCCGCTACAAGGCACATCTATATTTTTTATAGAATAAGGATGACAAACGAGCACGCAGTCCACCTGATGGTAAGTGAATGCTGTGCCCCATTGACATCTACATTTATCTTCAAATACGAATCAAAATGCAGATGCGTTGCCACCTTCGAGGACTGAGATGGAATGCCTCGTTTCCAGTAAAAAGTGTCTCGGAATCTCTACACTCACCATGTAAAACTCAGTAGCATTTTACGCTGGTATTCTGTAAAAGCGTGGTCCTACCCCAGTCCAGTCGACTCATTCAGGCTACCACCATAATATAGCTGCCTTTTAAGACGCGTTATTTTAACGTTGGAATCCTAAAATAATTACATAAGTATGTATGTGGAATTCCCATAAAAAATAACTTATACCTATTTAAAATAAAAGCTAACTTTAAAAAACTAAAAATAATATAAAAACGACATTCTGAACATTTTGGTCGGAGTAAGAAATATATCAATCTCAATGTAGTCTAAATTATTGCATTAAAAACCCATCACCTATTTTTCACCATTAGTAGAGGTTACCTCACACCAGGATTTCTCCTGGTCATTTTACAAACATCATATTTGGCACTTGGACAACGATTACTATTACTTGTGGCATAGATCCCGCTCTAGCACCTAACGCCACACTTAACTACCAAGTTGTCCAATACATAAATAATAACTATAATTGATTCTATCAACTACTAATATTTAATTGTTAATATGATTTAATTGAAAATCTACTGCTCCACAAGAAATATTGCTGGATACCGCACAATATTGCCTCTTGTTATTTATAAGGCGGTGTTTAAACGGAAAAGGATCACAGAGTACCTACAATATATAATATTACTTATATACTGCGAAAGAATCAAGTAAATAAAATCGGTGAAAAACAAACATGATTTATTTGAATTTGATTGAGTTATATATTACAAAAATCTACATAGATAAATTTCAAAAACGTTTAACTTGATTAGACATTGACTAAAAAATATTTTCTTTGGTCTTAATTAAATAAATGCAATATTTTAAACAGTATAAAATAAAATTTAATTTTAAATTAAAACTATAAAAGACTGTTCGAGTAATCCTTATGGCATTAAAAACAGCACCATCTACCGACATACAGCTATATTATTTTAATACCAATAACAACAAACAACTTAAGGAACTTCAACTCGTATTTACGCAATTCCAATAATTTTATTACACGATAACTACAACAGATGTCACTGATTGATTAATACTTAGCCTTTTATTTTGGTCGATGTCAATGTACCCAAATTTTTAAGTACATATTTCTTATTTCTTACATAATAAATGGGATGATTTTATAAGAAAGAACAAACGAACAGTTACAATATATTTCACCGGCCATGAGAAAATCACGTAAACCACAAAAAATCATCCGTCAAATGTTTTTTTAATCTGTAAAAGCGTTTCGAAATGCATAATCACAGAATACTAATAGGTACCCTTAGGCGAGTATAATATTATGCAGTAATTCCGCAGGTTTTCCCTTTTTAGTAACATAGTACTTGTATTCAGAATGGACAAAATGGCATTATATTCGTACTATGTTACTAGATACAGACCCATCGGAAACTAGAGCACTTTCATTTAATAATGAAATGAATTAAATATTTTAATATGCACACAAAAAAGAACCTTAAAAATTTGGAGTTCATCAGAACATAGCAAGCACGAGCAGAGAGATAGAGTAGGTACAGTTATTAGCCAGAAAAAGTACAGCCTCAAAAGCCTTAGAAGACTTGACAGACTGACTGACTTGACTGACGTCACATTGTTGACAAGCACAGTGTTTGAAGTTATTTATGAATCGCACTGCATCTATTTGAATAGGACACAATATCGTTTATCTGGTGGCAGGCATTTAAACAAGTAATTCTGAAGAAAAATATTAATGTAGAAGTACCCACAATAAATCTTAACAATAACAAAAATATTGCAATTAATGGGTGCGTTTGGCAGAAAAAAGCGCTAGCAAGCGCTTGTAAGCAAAATGGCGATCGTAAGCGGTAAGCGCTGTTAAATCGTAAGTAGCTATTTTCCTCCAGGACACGATGTTAGTTTTAACCGGTAAACCTAACCTAATTTATATATATGTTTGTAAAGTATTCACATTAAAAACTTACCAATCATGAATTTTTAATAACATGTATATGTTTATTCATGTCAATATATTACTTAAAACTAATATTGCATAAAACAACTTAAAAACTCTACTTCAAAACAAACAAATTAAATAAGCAAAATGGCGGATTGTGTCAGCGCTGCTGAAGTAGCAATCGTGTCCTGGCCGAAAACTATTTCAGCGCTTGTAAGCGCTTGCTAGCGCTTTTTTCTGCCAAACGCACCCAATAACAAACATTTTTCGAACACAAAACTGAATACCCAACAAAATTAAGAAGATTCATGTAATTAATCCTAATTATTGACCGTGAAATGAAGTTAAGTAGTAGGAACGTAAATGAGTGTAGATAAGAGCTGAACTGTGAACTCAGCGATCGGGAATAAGATCCATTGTGGTCCCCTTATTCAGTAGTCATTCAGTAGTCGATATGTTATGGACAAAGTGTTTTGTGGTTTTATTTACTCTGTTTACGCTTGGATTTGGACAAGGTTTGCACTGATTTTCGTATTATATACATCACAATTAATAATTATGATGTTGGTGGTTTATTAATAGTTTAAATTTTGAGATTTGAGAGCAATTTCGTACTATCGTAATTCAATCGAAAGAGTTTAATAACCAAAAGGCATTACTTATGGGCCACATTTATTAATTTAAGAGCTATGCTTTTATGATTTTTGTGGAGATAATATACGTATGTAACATGATATTGATATTATGAAATATATATCAATATCATGTTACATACGTATATTACGCATATAATAGTACGCAATAGAAATCATCCAATGCCAGGTATTTTTCGTCTTCTATTATTTAATGAGGTTATTCGAGAAATTCCTGCTTTTGTATAAACAGAAATAAATTTTGGAAAAGATTTTAAAAGTTTTAGTGTGACGGAATTTAAAACGTTTTTCGTCTTTAGAAGCCCGTAATTGACTAATGAGCACGGGCCTCTTAATTAGGAATTAGGAGGAAGTTAAAGCGCCTCTGATAAGACCTTCCTGGCTTTTAACATAAGCACTTCGTACAAAACCCACGGGCTGACATAGGATGACGAATTCTCTTACCACCACCACACTGACATTCCCGATATACTTTTCATATGTTTTCTTTCCTGGCTGATATATATATATATATATATTGGTCATTTATTTTTGTTGCCATTTAATAATAGGTGAACTGTATGCTCATTATTCTATATATATAAAAATCTATTTATGATAAAATCATCCTTTAATGTAAATTGAGGAAAAGTTTCTTTGTATTTTATATACAAATTCAAGACATTTTTTCCAAAGTTTAAATAATATATATATGCCATTTTGTTCGATAACTTGTTGCCATTTTGTAGGTAGTCCCGTTGCTGTATAAATGTTGGGATTTTTGATTAAAAAAATGCGACAATTAGTTTTGACAGTCCTTTCTTGACGTTAACCTAACAGCACCCAAAGAATTCTGAAGAAATAAAAACCGGTGAAAATCTGAGGGTGCAAGCTCAGGACTATGTGGTGGATGCATTTATACTTCCCAATCAAGCTCTCTCAATTTTTGCTGAGTGGCCAAAGATGTGTGTGGTCTGGCGTTATCATCATGAAGACCACTCAGTTTCTGTTGTGTCTGTACAGATCCGAATCGATGGTTTTGCCCGGCGGTAAAAGCTCATAATAAACGATGCCCTTCCAATCCCACCATACACACATCATCACCTTATTGCGTGTTAATCTGGGTTTTGCTACGACCTGCTTTAGTCGTGTTTTACCCTTTCTTTTTCTTTTTTTAATATCCTATATCTATTGATATTAAAACCAGCCCACTGACCTCTATATATACAGCGTACTAGTACATATAGAGGTCAGTGAACCAGCCCGATACAAACAGTACAACCAAAGAGATTTTTCTTAAATTTTAAACAAACAAAATACGAAGAAACTTTTGCCCAAACCTATTATTTATATTATACTAGCTTGCCAGTACGTTGTTCTGCCCTTTTCGACGACCCTTCGTCATGTTCTATTAAAAATCCTTAAAATCGCAAAAAAAAAAAATGTGGTTCACTCTTGGGCAAAAAAACTATCCTACCTCTCAAGTTAGACCAATCTGCACACGGTGTGCAAATTTGATTAAAATCGGTTAAGTAGTTTAGTAGTTCATCACGGATAAACAACGTGACACGTAATTTATATATATTAATGGGGGGGTGTGTTTTTTTTCTCTTGATTAGTATACGTACAACAAATGACAGAACTTGTTCCTGGTCCAATTATAAAGTAAGTATTCCGCAACGTTTCTTTAATTCCGGTGGCAAATTATTCACCGAGGTTTACTTCACTCATCTGAAACTCCTTGCCCGAAGACATTAAAAAAATTCCCAATAAGACTCTCTATATCTATTAGAGATTGGTACGGGAATAGATTTTAAAGACATCAAATGGGGGTTAATATTGTCAATGTTATCGTTTGGTTCCTTTTAAGTATATCCTTATGAATAATATAATAATTACTCTAAAATATAATAAGAAATAATAATTAAATAATAAATAAAAATTCCGCCTGTCCACCTACCATGACCCTTTTTCTCTTTTTTTAATAGAATAAGGGTGATAAACGAGCACGCAGTCCACCTGATGGTAAGCGAATGCTGTGACCCATAGACATCCACGTTTATCCTCGATTAAGAACCAAAACGCAGATGCGGTGTCATTCCTGAGAACTAAGATGGAATACCTCCAGTAAAAAAGGATCAAGAATCACTACATTCACCATACGAATAAACTTAAATAACCGTAAACTTCTCAGGAAGTCCACGGCTATTTAGGTCAAGTATTTTTTGATACTCGTATGTACTCACTCATCAAAACCTATTACGTACTTCCCGCTGGCCTAGAATTCTGGTAATGAATGGAATATCTTGGTCAATTTACGGCATTCATGTATCGGTATAGAAAACAGGCAAAGATAATCGAAACTTGACTCCCGGGATGAATAAAATAAGACATATTATGTAAGACGTAAGATATATATATGATATATATAAAATTGAAGTGTCTGTCTGTCATTTTCAACCGACTTCATTAAAAAGAGGAGGTTCTCAATCCGACTGATTTTTTTAGTGTTTAGTTACCTTATAACTTTTTTAAAGGTGAACTGATATTTTTATTTTTTTTATTTGAACGCTGGTAGTAGTGCGACTGCTGATTATGAGATCCAGGGTTCGAATCCCGGGCTGGGCCAAAAAAATTAATTAATGAGTTTTCCATCAAGAAATTCTCAGTAGTTGCCCGGAGACAGGAAGTTAACGATGTCTCACACCCGTGTCTCGCAAAGTACATAAAGCCGTTGGTCCTGCGCCTGATCTCTCTCCGGTCGTGTCGGTTTACCGTCCCATCGGATTATGAGAGTGAGAGAATAGATAGTGCACCTGTGCTTGCGCAAACACTTAGGCACTATAATCCTGTCCTGCACCGATGGCTAGCCTCCGTTGAGGCAGGCCGTTCTATACATTATTATTTACATGCCATTAGGACATAAACAACCGTTTTGAAAAATTGTGTCGTGTCGGTTCGGACATTAGGAATGGCTGAAGCGATATTGATGAACAGATAGAGAGTAAGGTAGTACTACCAAGACTGATCTAGTCTTTATTTTATTAGAAAATGTTGCATATTTAAAAATATATTTTATTAATATTATACTAAATCTAAATAACGGCTACATTAAGGTGATGTGGACGCCAAATGCAAATTTTTAACGCTTTAAAAGTGCTTTTTTTGTCATTAAAACTACGAATTCACTTTTTTTTTAAATTGATTATGAAAGTTAAAGATTTTTCTTAGTGAATTATGATAGCCAAAACACGATTGACACATTTTGGCTCGATAGAAAAAGATCGCAATGTTTCCTCAAAATCTACAATTTTAGATACGTCCACTAAGTGAAAAAGCAGTTTTATTCGAATGTAATGAAAGTAATTTCAAAAACATTCAGGCTATGTGTTCACCAGTAAATACGTGAGTGAATTATGGGTTAATTTTTCAGTAAAAGAGTGTTTATCATTTTAAAAAGAAATATCAAATAAATATTGTGCTATTAAATAGCGCGCGGGCCGACCAAACAGTCCATATAAAGCGTGAAAAATCTGCTTTTGGCGCCCACTTCACCTTAAAAGATCCCGTGCAGGCGAAGGCTAAGCGGGTAGCTGTACACAATAAAGTTTGCTTGGAACCCTCAGGACCCGAGTACTAATCGCTCTTGTCGGTTTGTTATTTTTATTTTTGGCACCTATCATATTAATTCAATGTAAGGTTACCCTTCATTAGGACTCTGTAATGAGTTATCAAGCATTATAAATTTATAATTGCAGCCACGCATAAGGCATCGTTCAAACGCTTGTCGTGGATAATTTTCTTACTCCGCGTGAGGGGTTTGTGGTTTTTCTATTTTAATATAGCCTTCGTATTCCTACTTTTTTCTTATGCTGTTGTTATTTATTTATTTTATAAGAGTTTTGATTCGATACAGCTATATTTGTGTTTGTAAGCTGGCTATTATAAACCACAATACTTGACCACGATCTCACCTGTTGGTAAGTGATATAAGACAAACGTTGGCAAATTGTTTGTTCATGTTCATGTCCATTCATTTGATATACGTATTGCAAATGACGGACCAAACCGTAACGTCCGAAGAATTCCTCGCGTCGACAGTAAATAGATAGAGTCCCGCTGTGCGTCTAGTTGTACGATGATGGAAAGAGGAGGGAGGAAGTAAGTCATGTTATTCCTGCGCATATTTAACGAAATATATATACTATATAATAATGAGAGACCGAATACTTCGAGGAAATGTATTTTCCTGGTAAGAGATTTGAAGGAGGTCAATGATCACAGTTGACTCAGGACGTTTTTGTAGCATTTCTTGGTAGAGGCTTATGTTGAGTTGTAGACTTTTGTGGATGGTAGTGCTGGTAGTGATGATGATGATGACGACGATTCTAATGAATATATATTTTGTATGTACTTTGCAGATGTCACACAAACAAGCACCGAATCAAGACTGGCAGAAGGGGAGAAAAGGATGAGTGAGCAAATTCTTGAAATTCTTGAACATTTTAAGAAACCTAATCCAGTAGGCATTCCGGGAGCGGAGATTCCTGAGCCATATTCTGTCCCGGATATGAAGCAGTCACTGTCACTTGGCACCTTGTATTTTAAAAATACCGCTGTGTATGGAATAAGCAAGTTTCGAATCTTGTACGTAAATGCTGAAATAGGAGCCATGGCGGTTAGTTTTCACTTTTTTATTATAATATAATAAAAAATACGAGATAGGAGGAGAGAGAAAGAGATAGAAAAAGGTAAAGAGAATATTTGGATTAATTTAAGATTAGAAATAAAATGTTTGAGCCAACATAAAATATCCAGAACGACAACGGGGAGCAGTTTCAAATCAGCAAAAACGTTTTGTACTGGAATTGCCTAATCTTCTCCCAAATGCCAATGCAAATCCCGTGAACCGTAGAAACCCATTCCCACTAGTAAACTTTTGTGGGTCAATGAAGAATAGGACGAAAAATAGAAATTCACTTTGAGCAACACCGTTTAACCTCTCAATCCCCTAGTGGTCTCATGAGACCGCGGCCATATTGCGTCAAATTCCTAGCGGTCTCATGAGGTCGCACCCACCCACAGTGCTTTAACCCATGAAAACTTATATATAGAGACTACTTTTCTAGGAAGAAGTGTGGCATTATATAATCAATATGAAATACTCTATCCTCTAGTGCAATGAATATTTATTTATAATCTACGTTTATTTCATACGCCATTTTCGCGTAAATGTTATTGTGTTGATTTTTGGATTTTTCTAGTGTTTTATTAGTGTTTTAGTATAGTGTTTCATTATAAAAAATAAAAATATAAATTTCTTCGCAATCTTCCGCTAAATAAATACAATGATGTGTTGCGTTACTTTGCATGCAGTTGAGGGAGGCGGGAGTTGCTCTTCAATCCAGGTAAGACACATCATTGTATTTATTTAGCGGAAGGTTGCGAAGAAATTTATATTTTTATTTTTATTATAATGGATTTCCGCAAAGTAACGCCTGATTCTATCAATTAGTGTTTTATTATAAAATTGTAATGAACGTTTTGTGTGAATAATTTATTTTTTTACGTAAATAATTTCGAGTAATATACATATAATGATTTCTTATATTTACGCGAACACTACACATTGAAATAATACTAGTTTTTACGGAATTTATCGCGTATATTTAACTTTTTAATACCCGACGTTTCGAACGCTTTACAGCTACGGGAAGTCTGCAGTCTGTGAACACGTACAGGATCGCCCTCGTCACTACATCAGATTTGATAGACCGCAAATCCTCGCTAAATAACACCGATTCCTTCCAAGGATGATTCGCGAGACTATTGAAATCAAAAAACATCCTAATTTCAATAAAGAAGATGGCTGGGTGCTACCACCCAGCCATCTCCGCTCTGCTTGGGATCCTATAATAAATAAAATTAAATCCCAACCCAAGCATACAACTGCAAGACTTCAAGATACCATAAGTTCATACTGCATAGATCGGAACAAAAGTTAAATTTTAATCTATGGTAACCGCGGTTAACTATGACATATGGACGTTGAACATCTCAATCCCGCCCGTGACCATGAGTGCTGTAAAGCGTTCGAAACGTCGGGTATTAAAAAGTTAAATATACGCGATAAATTCCGTAAAAACTAGTATTATTTCAATATATATATATTGAAATAATTGTGATTGCTTTCACGCTGCCGACATTCGCTTGTTATGTTTTTTTTAATCAAAATACAATAAAATCTTTTTTGTAATGAAGTAAAACTTGACTTTTGTTTTACCACAGGATGGAGAATTTCATATAGATTTTATAATGCTAAACTTCTTCATAGAAAAGTGGCCTAAAAGTTTCAATGATTTTAAGTGCTGTGAGTGAGTGCGGTCGCATGCTACCGCTCGGGATTTGCCGGGTGCATCCGACTGCATGGGATTTTTATCGCGCTTGGAAGGTTAAAATTTATATGAGATCACAGTGGAAGTATAATAACGAACGTTAGTTAACTTTAAATAATATTTTATTATAAAAACGTTACCACTACCCAGCATTTTCTTTTGTATCGCATTTTACATAAAATTATAATTATTTATAGGACATACAAATATGTACTTGTGACGGATTCAAACCCGCGGCCCTCAGCGCCTCAACTTGTGCTAAGTTACAACGCCACAGAACCGCCAAACTAAAATTTTGTATTTTTTATCAACACATGACAATAGTGTAGTACCTGGATGACCGAGCTTTGCGCGGTATTTTTTTTTTTTTTTTGATACAAATTACATACTGATGAAATATGAATAATATTTTTCGATCTTACCGACATAATAGAAAAATCTGAACTGGTTATTTAAATAAAAAATCATGATGGCAATTAATTTAATTTATTTTTCGTGTTTTTAAAAAAATACTAAAAAAGGGCTCGAATTTGGGAACTTGAAAAAAGTTGGACCGAAGACATCTGGACGCGAACCGGGGTACCTCACGTTCGTGACCACCCGATAAACCATTTGAGCTATTATAACCCTTAACGCTTTGCCAAAATTTACCGTCGTATTCTAATGATATTGTAGCAGTTTTCACTGCCTGAAAACACGGATAAAACAACATTTTCTAAAAATGAATCCTAGCTAGATCGATTTATTGCCCTCGAAACCCCCAGGACACTAAATTTCATGAAAATCGTTGGAGCCGTTTCCGAGATTCCGATTATATATATACAAGAATTGCTCGTTTAAAGTTATAAGATTCAGATTGGCGACCGTACTACCAAAAGTTATTGCTTCTATCTCTGACCAGTCTGTGTATTTTTTAATTAATAAATTAAACGAAGTTGCTTTATATTTCCAAATAGAATTTAATATTATTACCTATGATGTATAACATATTTTTAATTTGCAGGTTCACGCAGGCTTGGTAATAGACAAATTGCAAGCTCGCGGAAATTACACTTTGTGGACATGGCTGAACAAAGCACAAGGACCGTTTACCGTTGATATTGCCGGTCTGAAAATACTGGCGAGGGCTTCTCTCGGAGTGGAAAGAAATGGAAAACTACAAGCGCAAGACATATCAATTGATCTGAGCTTTAGTAATATTGCTGTTAACTTTGAGAATTTAGGCTTCTTCGGTAGTATGTTCCAAGGTGTCGTGAACTCTGTTGGTACATTCCTCTTTGATTCTATCAAACCGTACGTTCTAAAAGAAGCATATGTCAAAGCGAGGAAAGTCATAAATGAGAAGCTAGACGAAGTTGCTGGTGATATGCAATTCCCTAATTCAATTTCTCCGTTAGATATGGTCATAGCTGACGCCAGAAAGAAAGTCAGGGAAATGCAACTTGATCCTTACAAAGTAAAAGACTACAATACAACAGTCAGTATATTTACAATCACTTTAGAACATACTTGGATAATGGGCATTTCATCATTTCAACGAGTAGGTAATATAACACTTAAGTTAGAGAACAACACAGCAGTGGCTGACTTTGAAATCGGTACGCAGAAGCTTGAAGGAATCACGCAATGGGAAATCTCGGCCGTCAGCGGTTTAATGTCAAGAGCAGGCACTGCTTCCTTCTCAGTTGAATACATAAGTGGAAGAATAATTCTTGCTCAGCCACTAGACACGAGGAAAAAGCCGCAATTTAGAGATTTAGATCTCGAAGTTGGCAACATTCAAGTTCGTTTCGATGGCGCGGGAACGTTAGACTACGTTATTGAATTTGCAGTAAACATCTTACCGAATCTTCTCAGGTATCAAATTATGGATGCACTTGAAGGTCCCGTCAAAGAAAGAATGCAACAAGAACTTAATAAAATCAACGTTGAGGAGACGATAAAACAAGAATTGCCTAAAATAGACGAAATGCAACAACAAGGGTTCAAGCTATCAGCGCTCCGCGTTTCGGAAGCTAAAGATGAACCGTTCGATGAAGACGAATTCTTCAATTTCTAAACATAATGGATATAAAATTCATAAGTTTAGTTGTAGAAGTATAAAGTTATACAAACTAAACATTTTTGTGATTCTTTTTACGATAACAAAGCTTAAAATTAAAATAATTTAAATTATCGAAGTTATGATTCCATTTGTACAACGACCAAATAAAAAAAAATTTAGAGTCTTAGAGAATGGCGTGAATTTCAATTTTCTATTCAATTTGGATTTAATTCTTTATTTTAGTTGAGCAACATAATGTTAAATTTTAATGGCCAATTACAAGGGAGTGTAAAAGACTTAAAAGAAACCTTTATACGGTTGTCGACCACATTATAGCCACACTAAAGGATTCCACTCTAGGCAATGGCGACCCACATACTCAGATAAGAAAGCAATACTTCGGGTTTTATTTTCATCAAAGTCATCGGTTCGAAGTTTTGGGTCAACATTCTCAAAACATCCAAATTTTAGGTCTTTAATTCATTTAGTCTACGAGCTAGAGAGCCGTGACATACGGACAGGCAGACGGACAGGTGGAGAGTCACACGGATGGACATATGGATTGACAGACAACAGAGTGACATTAAGAGGGTTTTACCCTTTAAATAGGGAACTTTAATCGGTTACCTAGCCTAATTAATATCCTCGTTCTTTTTAACTCAGTTAATAAAGCCAAGGATGAGTGTTATTCATCCACTATATACTTTTATACGTGGTAGAGCCACGCTGCAGCTATATTATGGTTGTAGCATGAATAGGTACGCTCGGCCGAGAAAGGACCTCACTCTCACAGAATACCAGCGTAAAATAGCCGCTTAATGTTGCTGTGTTTCATACGGTGAGTGTAGAGAACCGGCTGCCCGTTTTACTGCAATCGAGCCATTCTATCTTAGTCCTCAGAGGTGACAACTCAGCTGCATTTTGATTCTTAATCGAGTGTAGATGTCTATGGGCCACAGTATCCACTTACCATCAAGTGGACTGTGTGCTCGTTTGTCACCCTTATTTTATAAAAAAAAAGTTTTCACGGCGTTTCCCATAGTCATTCTTATGTTACTTATAGATCGAAAAGAGGAAATGGATACTCTTGGAACACCCACACGACAATAATTATATTCACTCAAATTAGTATAGAACTGTTTGAACTGTAAAAGTAAAGTAAAGTTACAGCCTATACGTCCACTGCTGGGCTCAGGCCTCCCCTCATTTTGAGAGGGTGGGAAGGTTCGCCGCGTTTGTTGAATTGTCTTCGAATATTTTTTTTTTTCAGACCAGGTTTCCTCGATGTTCCTCGAGCAGTGGTATAGCACTTAAATTGCATTACATTTATTGGTGACGGGGCGTTCGTAGTGGACCACGGACGGTTGAACTGTATAAAAATTTATTAAAAGAGCAATTATAATGTAAATTAATACATTCTCTTTTGTCACTGGTTTCTCACCCTTATTCTAGAAAAAAAAACTGAGGACCTGATCTTCTCGGCAGATATACGTCAAAACCGGGAAACGAGTGAAACAGTGCGTGTTGCCAGTGACGACTTAAGGATCTGAGACATGATCTTGCAGTGCTGGCTGTACGAGGAAGCTTAAAGTCGCTCAGCGAGCTGTGGAGAGGGCTGGATATTCTTACACAGCCACTACACGGTTAATATTCCATCTAAAAAGATCTCTATGGCTGATAAAGAAATCTTTTAGAGCACGTAACATTTCACTTCTGAATATGGTCACATGAGTAGATATATCTACTCATATGATATGGGTCCTACCATTGTAAGGAGAAAGTATCACTGCGATAGACGTACGGGTTGGCGATCACATTTCCTGACGTCCCTTTGACGCTGTTCCTAAGCGGCGGTCAAGTTATTTTACTATTTTTACCGATACACTCGAAAAAGTTGGTTATACCGCCAACATCAGCGTCTTTTCCTATGATTCCGGACTTAATGTAGCAACTGGACTTAATTGATACTTACATATATTTATTATATGGCATTATATTAATAGAATTAATGTTAATGTCTGGGTACAGAATTTTTTCGTGTTCCGTAGTATCACTTCTGCTGTCAGCGTCAAAACGGCGAAAATTAAATCGCCTCATTATGTCATGGTGCCTATAAAAGTGTAAGTAATAACTTATAATCAATAAATAATTAATATAAATCAATGCAAGCGTTTTCGTGTCCTTCATTTGGGCTTCCCAACAAATTTTGATACAGGGCCCGTCTAAAGCACGCTACGCCACTGACTTGGGTTTCCTGTAAAATCATGTGGACGCTTCCCGATGTAATTTTCAATATATATTTTAATTCTAACTTGCTAGCATTTTCCCCTTAGTAACAAAAATAAACAGTATTTTTCTCAACCACAATAAAAACAACAATTTTATTAAGTTGAAGCGTAGCATAGCCTTCTTATGTCCTAAATAAGATGCAATTTTTGTTACTATTACTTCTGAAACTATTTATACGATTCTGGAAAACGACTACTAGCAAACATAATCTATGTAGTCCGAATAACAAACAAATAAGTTTTTCTATTAGTTCTTCTGTTTCTATAGCAATATTCGTTAAAATTAAAAACGAGATTTTCATATATTACGTCGGTAAACAAGTCCCGAGCCTGACTTATAGATGACGCTGTTAGGGAAAATATTTCTATTTTGAAAACGAACAAACTTCCATATAATCTGTGCAAAATGTTTATAACCTCAAAATTATTTAATACGTACAAATTTCTACGTGTATAGAACTATAAAAGATCGAGAAAAATAATATAAGGACCGTAGTATTAAATATTCCATATCTTTTAAAATAACGTTCAATTTAAATTAAGACACGAAGGAACGAGCGACCTAAGTAAATTCCGGCCGGCACTTTTGTCGAAGAATGTAAGAATGGGTCGGCCTAACCGAGGAAGGACTACGCTTTCATATAATACGTTAACCTGTTCGTGTGGTGAGTGTATAAAGAACCGGAGACATTTTTCACTGGAAACAAAGCATTTATTCTTATTCTTTTGGGGTGACAAAGCATGTACACTTTGTTCCTATATCCAGGATAGATGTAGATGACTATAGGCCACAGCATCCACTTACCACAAGGTGACCTGTGTGCTCGTTTGTCATCCTTATTCTATAAAAGAAATGTAATTGTTAATTGCAATTTTAAGTTTTGACTTAGCACTCGCCTAGGGGGTAAAGGAAAACGTAATGAGGAAAACAGGTTCTGCGTGGTTCTTCCCCGATTGAGCCGACCTAAGTATTTATGCTATGGTCAAGATACAGCTACAACGAAGTCTGATTGAGTGTACTAAAGTTGGCACGGTAAAAAATACAGGAAAAATAAACCCTTTGTGTAAGACCAGTGCGTATTGCCAGTAATGACACAATGAACCGATACGTTAGTCCTTCGCTGCTGACTGTATGAGGAAGCTCAAATTCACTCAGCATGCGTTGGAAAGAGCTGTGCACAGAATTTTTCTAAGAGGTATTTAACGAGAATATCCAGAAAAGAACAAAAGTAACTGACATAATCCAGCGCATCAGTAAACTGAATTGGCAATAGGCCGGTCATATATGTCTAAGGTTCTCGAGTGGCAGCCTCGTACAGTCAAGTGCAGTGTTAGGCGACCCGCCACTAGATGGAGTGACGACCTGAAACACGAAGGCAGTTGATGGCTTCTTCTATGGGTGAGGCCTATGTTCAGCAGTGGACTTGTGATGTGCCATAGGAGTAATAGTTGAATTAAATGGCTACAAATCATCACACACTGCAAAAGATTGCCTGAATCTTTCAAGAGCAACAAAAATACGTAAAATTGAGTTATTGTAGCTCAGCGGGCCCAGAGCATAGCATTCAAATTTCATATAACTTTATCAATTTACTCATATTTATACGAGTGTAGGTACTATTTTTACATGTACCAACATAACCACATATAAATATGTGGTTGCGTTAGTAAAGTAAACTGTTCTATGAACCACTTTCTCTGTGATGTACGGATCCTCTACCAGATATTATCATCCCTTGGGTGTCGTAAGAAGCAACTGAGGGAAACGAAATGACAGCTCTCTGATACCAATTCAAAATAACTGAATAACTGATAACAATGAACTCAAAATATCAAAATATACATGTGAGGAATTCCCACACGGTAGGAATATTTTTAAATAATAAAAAAAATATTTATTATTTTTTTATTATTAATTTATTGAGACCGATCTAATAGGAAACACTGTATACTGTATTCTATCTCATTCTCTCGCAGGCTAAATCCTATAGATTAATATGTTTGTCTCTTTTTGGTGTCGCTTTTCGTTTGATCGAATACCAAGCCACAATGGTTTTATAGAGTTTTAGGTACTTTAAACTCGCCCGTCAAGCACGGCAACTAGTTCAGCACCGCACTTTTGATAGCCATTGTAGCTCAGGAGCTAAGCACTAGTCATACATTTTACATACGCAAGTAACCCTGGTTTGATTCCCACCGTTACCAATGAAGAAATTTGTAATTTTTCAATGTTGACTACCTCGTAATCTTTGTGACTTCAGCTGAAGCCGCCGGAAGGGCGTGGTTAGCGTGGGCTTTTAGACCTTGGGTTGCTGAAGCTCGAAACGTTCCGATATCAGTACGAATTTATAGCAACTAGTTACAACATAACAGAAAAGATTTTTTTTCGTGCAAACGTTGTAATCAATAAGCTTATAATAAATTGATAGAATAATATTATATAATTTGCTCATTGCCATAAATTTAGTAAATGTTACTATGATAATTAGAATATGTAGAATTAATTAAACTTGGACACAATTGTACAATCATATTCTTGCAAATAAAGATTATTACCTATTAAGGTACGTGAGTGTAACATAGTCAGTCACCTTAAGCTTTGCCGCCCTATAAAACCAAAACTACGAGGAGGACCAACACAAAAAATACAAAGTCGTATACTATGAGTAATATATTAAGAAAAATATGAACAAACAAGCTTTCCAATATTAGGAACACCATACTAAT